CTATGCAATCTTATATGGTTTGCTTTGCAAAACATATAAGATTGCATAGCAATCGCTCGCTACTAACTTAGATACATTGTAAATGCACAAAATTCAAAGAATTCAAAACAATCATTCAATCCATATAAAACCTTTTTTTTAAAAAAAATTACATCTTTTTAGCAAATACTAAGTCATTAAAATAAATTTGAATTCAAATAAATGACATGTAATTCGTTAATCCTATTAGAAATATGTTATAGTATAATTCGTGATATAAATCAAAAATCGTCAAATAAATTCGTAACATATAAATTCGTGAAAAAAAGCGCTTTCGACAAAATACTAAAATAGAGATCTATCGACACAGACTACTCACTTCTGCCTAGCTTAATAGTATGAGATTGCCGCAGTTGATGCTCTCTGGTTATTTCAGTTTCCGTTTTTAAAAGCACTATATGTTGAGCCACCTCAGCTAGATTTGGCATGTGACATTTTTAGCGGCAATCACTGGTCGATTCGCCGTGTAAGAGAAATAGTAACGTAAACAAAACAAAGCAAACGTTGCCACCGGCGGAAAAGAAATACAGCCAAAATTTGGGAGCCACGTAAGAGAATTATATTTTCTATCGTATATCACCACAGATTTGGAAATAATTTTAATAATTCTGCTTGCCTACTATGCTGAAATGTCCCAAACTCATATTTACGGTGGTTTGTGTTGATTAATGGTTTCCAGACTGATTTCAAATTATTACTAAAATTCAATACTTAACGAACTTTGACAATATCGTAGACATCTCTTGAAAATAGTTAAAATTGAAATCAAAGTATTTTGGGCAGCAGCTAGGCGATGAAAAATTTTTATTAATACATTGTTTAAAACTAATCAAGGTGATAGGACTGGAAAAGGGGTTGAAGAATCAGAATGGTTAAATACAGTAGTGATATGCAATTGACTTCGTTGCTATTAAAGTTTATTTATAAGTTACACAAAATAATTTCGAGAGGTGACCAAGCTGGTCACCAAAGGTGGCTAGTAAAGTTTACATTTTTCTCAATTTCATTGACTTTCCACTTTGAATTTTAATCACTGAGTTAGTTATTCTTCGATTAAACATACCTATGACTTAACGTGAAAAAAAAAACGAATTTCAACTTCTCACTTTTTTAAAGTTGCAACAATTTCCAAAGATGTAATAATTTAAAGCACCAATTTTGTAGTTCAATGATGTACCGATTTTTCTAAGAGTTCAATTTTTATTGCATAAATAAAGTTTTAGACAAGATACTATATGGTGTTAAACGTAATTCCTTGTCGAAAAGGGCATTTTCACAGTTACTGAGTCCAAATTTTTAATCTTTTTGCTTTTAACGTTGTTCTCATTCGTTGTCATATCCGTTGTCATAACGTTGTGATTATGACATTCTTCATATATTGCTTTAAGTATTATACTGTAAAAAGTTTACTTTTAAATCTTCAAAAAAACTTTAAATATTGTAATTTGCTTTGTTTTTTATAAATTTACTATAAACATTTACCAATTAATAAGTTAGGATATGCCATCATCATAAAAAGCTATTCTACTTATTTTGAAAAAATGCAGAATTAGAATACAGAAACCTTTTTTAAAAAAATAAAGTCAAAATTAAGCATACAAAATGTAATATTTTGAAGATGAAACAATAAAAAAGATAGACACAAAAGGAGCAACTATTTGAGATTTTTAAATTATTTATTACTAATTAAAAATTATGGGTTTTCATAAAGTCTCATTATTATATTAAAAAACAGAATTCTCATAATTGTATTTATTTGCTACAGTTCAAAATTAACTGTAGAAATTTAGACCTTTGTTTTGTATGTTGTTATTATTTATTCAATCAATATAACATAATGATTACATTCATACAAATATGTAAATGGTGATAGCACACAATCTTTCAGCTCTCTATACATTCACTGTAGACAGGTTATATCTATAGATACTGGAATAAATATAATTCAATGTAATATAGTTAATATAATAACTAATTTAATAATTAATTACTATTTAAAGGAAGACATATTATTTGACTATAATTCAAGATAATTAATTTATAAATTTAAATAGCCAATTATGCAAATAATTATCAAAAGTACGGTTTTAAAATGTGATCTAGAAATATTTATCGAAATCACCACAGTCTATAAAATTAAACCCGAATCAAAAACTGATAGGGCAGTTATTATTTCATCATTCTTTTTAAAACTAGTTTTGTATTCATAAAATCTATATAACAAATACATTTGAATATTTGAGGATAACCATTTCTTTTTAGGTTTTATTAAGGTAAATAACTAGTTTAAATGCATTGCTTTAATTTATAACTTATTCATGAAGTCAAAGAATAGGACTAATTCTAAGAAAATTCTATTCTATTTCAACCATTTTAAGGATTATTTTAATTATATTTCCAATCAACTATTTCAATTTCGAATTCATGGGACTTTCAAATTAAATTATTATTTTTTGAGCTATTTTGAAACATTTTGGCTCAATTTTAAGAAATCCCTTTTTTACAGATAAAGATTTTTACACTGGAGCGTTGTCTCAACAATTGCAACTGTGGCTATTGCAAAAGAAGCTAAACAATTTACCATGTTTCATTAAACATTGTAAACTTTTTTTTCCTTTTAAGTCCTTAAGTAGATTTTTAATAATTTTTATTTCGTATCTGTTATATTTTTTTGAATGCTCTCTCTACTGTTTAAAAAAAGCGTTTTCTTAATTCAGTTTGTTTCTAAGCTCAGTTTTGTTCACAATGCAACAGCTTAAAAATGTTTGAGAAGAGTTTTAAAATACGAAAATTTTTGTTCTATACTACTAAATAGACATGTTAAAATGTATCAAAGATTTTACTGTATTTGAAAATATGAATACATTATTAAATGTAGAATGGTATTAATCATCTTATAAGGTTGCAAAAAATGCATCGTGTTATTTCGGCGTTGCGGTTTCTGCACAAAAGAAGAGAGTTTTTGAAAAATCTATTGAACTGTAAAAAGTTATCCAATTAAGAAATGTTAGAAAAATGCCCTGAACATTCACATTATATGAAAATTTTACAAGATGTTATTATTTCCTTAACATTATGTGGCAGAATCTCAAATATTTTTTTCATCTTTTTTTGAAAGTTACTTGACTCTCCTTTTAAGGAATTCGAATCAGTAAGAGAGAGCGATATAAATGGAAATTAAATCTCATTAACTTATCTGACTATTCTAAAATCCCAATTTTCAGTGAAATTTTCGATCTTAGGTCTATCATAAAAACCTATGTTACTCGTACTCTTATTTATTTAAAATTACTAAGTTTTTGTTTATGCTTTAATTGCTTAAAAGTTTATAGTATTTTTTGTGTAAGATGAGAGTAACGAAAATGAGCTGGAAAATTATGAATCGGAACTGAAAATACTTTCTTTTTACCAGATACCTATTTATATTTAGAATTTCATCACCATAGTTTTTATAATATATTAAATATAACAATCTAAAATAAGAGCAAAGCTTTTGATTAAAATTTAGCTTAAAAAATAATTCTGGCACCATCATCACATTTTTGATAGTTGTTTTGTTTGTTGATGTTTTAACGTTTTGTTGCTTTTTCTTTGAAATATTGCAATCTTTTTTTAATTATTGATTTCAATTAAAATTGCTTTTCCAATGCAGAATTAACTGAATAACATAAAATGGACAAAATGGAATGTGCTCGTGAAATACCTCATGTACTCTTATGGAGAATTTAAAGTACTTTATGTACCATATTTTTAACAAATAAATGTTAATCATATTATACCAGATTATTATATACAACTGAATGTTAACAAACATTTTTATTTTTTTCCAATGCTCACCTGGGTTAACATTTAATCAATTCAGGCATTTACGGCACAGATTTGTTGGTCACTCTTTCAGGGGCACCATATTAGATGGACCAACGTTGCTCCCACTGTAAAGACAGATAGTACAGAAATGAAAGAGCATCGATGCCTTGCCCGGGATTTGAACCAAGAACCTTTATGAGGCAAGATTAGTTAAAAGATTCAATAATTAGTTCAAGAATTATTTGCTGCTGAACTAAAAAAGTTTGCTCAGTCTGTAGTGCCAAGGCGTTTAGATAGAAGTCTCAAATTCAGACCATGATAGGAGTCTCAAATTCAGACCATGCTGTATTTAATTGAAATAAAAGGAAGAAACTAGAAATTGTTTATTTAGATAATTTGTAACTATTGGAGATAATTAGATGTAGCTAGTTTAATTGTCAGTAATGTTTAATAACACACTTTAAACAAGAAGTCTCAAATTGACTATCTATTCCTTAGCAGAGGAAAGAAAAAACTTAATTTTTTTGAGATATTTAATTATTGGAGTAATTTGTTGTAGCAATTAACAGTAATGAGAATAAACATGTTGCTATCAAAATAGAAGTATCCATTTTTAGACAATATTTTCTTTATCAAATTAAAAGGGAAAAAATGAAACTGTTTCAATTTGAAATTTTCAGCGTAATTAATAACTCTAACTGACCGTAATGCGAAAAAACATATTCCAAGCGAAAGAGAGAAGTCTCTAATTTGAACTATATGTTATCTAATTATAAGGGTAAGTTATAAAAAAAAGTTTACTTCGTTGTTTGGTTAGTATTGTATGTTTAGTGCAGTCCACCAGATTCTGAATCTTATGATATTTAGTGATGAGTTGTTGTAGGTTACAGTGAAACCGCTAAACGGTAAGTTCATGTAGTAAGGCTAATTAGTCGACCCTATTGTCTGCTAGTGTCCTTTTGTAATCAACTATATCCTAAATTTTAAAATTGGTTGTATTGCTATCACTATCTTTTTTGAGATAAAATATAATTGACATTCAGACAGATACATTGTTGTGTATTTTTTTCTTTATATTTTTTCTCTTATCATTTTCTTAAGAGTGTCAATGTTTGATAAGAGGTTCTGATGATATTTAAATTCCTTCTTACTTTTTTTACTTTTAGTTATTTGCGAAAACAGATAAAGACATTTAGTTCTGCCGTATAATTTTCTTCCTAAGAAATTTAGTCAAGCAATTTATAGTTTAGAGAAAAAACTATAAAAAATGGATATTCGCTTTGATGGGAAGCGGGCGTTAGTAACTGGAGCTGGAAAAGGTAAATAAGCAAAAATTCTATAGGATAATTTTTTCAATTTTTTTTTTATCATTACTGAATTTTGGATGAAAACGTCCAAAAATATAATTGTTAATTGAGCATTAATTTAGCTAGCTATTAGTAAATATCATATTCATTTAAAAAGAGTTGTTTATTCATTGTAACACTTGATTGATGGGAAACGGTTATTAGTTACTTAAGCTGAAAAAAGTAAAGTAACTGAAATTCCATCTGATTATTTTTTAATATTTTAAATCATTAATGAAGTTTGGAGGAAAGCATACTACAATATAATATTAGCTATTAGAGTTTTACTTTTATTGGTTATTATTAAATATCATATTCATTAAAAATTAAAAATAAAGAGTTGTTTTTTTCTTGTCTCAAAGCTGCATTTATAAGTTATTTTCCCCAAATTGTGTAAAACATTTTGAAACACGGAATATTTTACAATTTTAGTTTATTTTTTATAACAAATGATTATTTATTTACTTATCTTATACTATAATACGAGGAATGGTTGCCAAGTCGAAAATCGCCCCAGAATTAATAAACTCCGGTAAACTTGGGGGTCTGGGGTTTTTGGCCACGAGGAATCGATTGGCGCCGGTTTTGAAGCGCTACGGTCGAGCAGTTCGGAGTTACAGATAGGATATTTTCAAACTTTATTAGTTCGCCATAATGGCTATAGATACTTTTCTCCACTCTTATAAATGTATGCTAATGCGAACCTTACAATTGAAATATTAATTTTCGACAACTTAAACCAATAATATACGAAGGAATTAATAATTTAATTGTAAGGTTCGCATTAGTTTACATTTATCAAAG